TATTTTTATTTAGCATTTACGATTATAATCAATGTGACTACTAAACTGATAACCGGAAATTTCCAGTATATACTCGCATAAGTAAAATAATTATTTTGCAGTTTTTTTTTTTGACTATCATCAATAAAAACTGGCGTTATTTAATATTTTACAGGATTTCTTAAAAGGCGGCTATAAATTTTTGTTCCACATAAGAACAGGATTGATTGTGGAAGAATGGTCTGAAACCAATAATGTACAGTGAATATATATAAGTGCACCCCCTTCCATCCAGTGGCTCAGAAGTAATCTTTAGGGCTTATAATCACGGTGAGCAAAAGTCAGGTAATCCTGTTTGTAACTTTGCTTTTAAACACAAACAAACAATGTATATAAGTTTAAGCTCATCATTATGCTGACACCAGTTGTTTGTTTCATTACTTCAAAAATATTTCTTTAAAGAATCTTTACCTATACTCGAAATTTTCACATTAATTTTTTTGGGGTCTTTTACTAATGTTGATCCAAGTAAACAATTACTCAATTTCACAGTAGTGAGGAATATTCACCATAGGTCTTATAATAATGAAATAAAAAAAAACAAGTAAAGCAACCTTAACAATTCGTAATACGTTAAATGTCTAATAACTCCATTCATCTTTCTTATACTTCTATAAGTAAACTTAATAAATTGTCAAGCTTCCAGCAAACGATCGGATTTAATTTTAATCCTTCATAGAAAAAATTCAGCCTCCGACTAAATACAACCGAGAATTTCTATTACGAAGACATGATTGATGCCTTATGTATTAAATGCATAGTTTTATCTGGTATCACTCGTTAAAAACTTCGTTTTTTAAGAGGGTTATGGGATTGTATCCTGAAGGAGCTTACTGCATTGATGATCTTAATAGGAACAACCAAAAAATGTCCTTGACTTTTATCGTTTGAACGGTATAAGTAAATTCACCAAGTACAACTGAATAAAACAAACAAGCAAAAAACAAGTTATAGAGATACAGGAGATCAGTCAAAAACCTAAACATAAACAATTAAACGATAAATTTCAGCTATTATGAATCATTTTATTGTTTTCACAAACCCTATGTGCATGGTATAGAAACTATTACTCTTCATTACAATCTGTTTATCTGTGTTTTGGTGATAAAATCAATTTATCTGTGTTTTTCGTGTTAAAGTCACTTTTTTATGCTTGTTATAATATAAGTAACTCTCCTGATATCCGTCTTTTTTGTATTATAAGTTTGTTCTGTAAAAAAGACATTTTACAGGCGAGAACGAACAGTAAATTCTAAAATTTCGGTGTTGTAAAATGTGATATCAATGACCCCATATTTGTAGGACTCAAATAATGATCCCTACAGGCAGTATCCATTTATATTACAGAACTTGAAAGTTACACGCTGCGCGTACAGGTAGGAAAGACTGATAACGTGCTGTGTATAAACAAGACCTATATATATATATCGTTCAACATTTTCCTGTCATTGAACTCTAAGATCACTTTAAATTAGCTCAGGTATAGCGTACACTTTCAATTACCTATTGTAAAATTTACCAATGAGCTTATTTGTTCCACATGCAGTATACGTAAAGTTAGTCGCAGGCTTCTGTGGACTTCCACATGTCGCAAAGTAATAACCGCCATATTAATGACACAAAATAAGAATTCGTTTTTGCAAAAAATAATATACAATACACCTATCCAGAGACATAAAAATCACTCTATTGAGTATATTTTCAAATGGTTTAGAAACATATTGCCATTTTTAAATACTACATAATAAAGAAATAAGTATTCTTACTTATTAAAACTATGTATACGTTAATTAACACTATATGAGATACAACTAAGTTGGTTCCAAATAAAGTAGAACATGGGACTCACCTAACATACTGACACAGCCTGAACAGTACAAAAACCTATAGCAATACTAAGAATAATCGAAAAACAACGTGTTTAATTCTGGAATTTAATTAACTGACCTTGATAAAATTGATTTACATTCCTTTGTCTTAATTATAACAATCAATTCTTTAGCTACAGGCGTTAACGTGTACAAGTTATCTACATCTTAAGTTTAATTAAAAATGATTTATTATATTTGTGCTCTTCCTTTTTTATATATAAGTTCTTTTTCAAAGCACCAATCACTGTTTTTGTTAAGATCACGTATTATAAATAGACCTGCACGTAAAATTAAAAGCATAAATCAAAAAACACCTTTAGGCCTAATGCAGAACAGAAAACGCTGCCGAAAGCCTGCAGTAATTACAAGTGCTTGAAGTTCTTAAACTTGAAGTAGGAGTACAGACTAATATATTACAGATAAAAGTGAATATGAATATCTTTCACTGCACGTTTAATCACTGTGACTATTGTTTTCCGTTCTAAGTTAGTTTTAAAGATGAATTATAAATACAATACTACTTTATCGAAAAACATTAATTTAAAATTAAATTTATTTTTATTTTATCATGCGTCTGTGAATTGTAGAGCGAGAGTATCGTTACCTGCTTCAATTGTTAAAGAGAAACAATATCGTTATTTATGCAATATTCCACAGAACGTAAAGTACGTAAATAATTTCAGAAGTAAGTAATGATGAACTTATTTAGTATTTTCTTCATGATAATTTTAGAAGTAAAATTTTACCACATCGTTAAATGAAAGCAGTTATCATGATTATCTTAGTTTTCCGTTATAGCTTCGCTTTTCTCCTTCTGTCGTATTTAGGCCTAATTTGTTACGCGTATATTAGCAGAGTGTAGTATAGAATATAGGCCTAGGTCTGTTGTTTTCGGTATTTTGTGTATCGTTCGACATCTTAAAAAAGAGTAAAATAAGCTTAAAAGAGGACAACAAAAAAATCAGATTTTCAATCCATATTAAAAAGAGGAAATAAACCTTCGTTTTTCTACTTGTTCTTCAAAGTAAAAAAAAAAGAAAACAACTGAAAATATATTCAAAGTATCAAAGTTGCCTATCAAACCTATCGCCTTTAGTATACGTCGCGATGTCATTCGTACATTTTATAGTATTCGTTTTATAGTATTTAATCAATGTGCACCTGAAATTACGTTAATACTACTACATGGATCAAGGAATTGTTCCTTCATATAAATATGAGTTATGTCTGTGTTTATGATGTTTAATTCACACTAGCCTAGGGGACTTCTTTAGTTTGGAAATATGAGGTAATTTTTTGGTTATTTCAAATCATTACTTTGTAATAGCGTATAAAACGTTGAGTTTGCGTTTATTAATGAAATTGTTATACATTTAAATATCCCGGTTTGAATCGTGATATACAGATAGAGATACTTTCTTAAACACCGGTTGAAATATGAAGATAATCAGAGTAAATTACGTTTACAAAGAAGAAATAATAATAGTTTTATATCGATTACACGATGATTTTAATGAAAGAAAACTGCTGAATTATAGCAGGTTTTGTATAACTTAAAAATGAAACGCTAGTCTTTACAAAATCATATTTATTAAACAAAATACTTAATATTTACATTAAAGTATAACAAAACTGTTATCTGATTTGTTATCCACACTGAACCTGATATTCGTGTGATACACGTAAAAAAATATTTTCCACATAAATAAAGACTATATATTTTTATATGCCAAAATATCAGATTGTATGGTTACAATATTTCAATCAGATATTCCTCAACGTCCTGTACAATATTTTCATAATTATCCAGTTATGCGGCATATGATAAAGTGATCGTAGAGGAAACGTAAGTGATAAAATTTACATTAACACACACACACACAAACATTTTAATTCTATAAAATCATGAATTATAGATATAGAAAGAAAGTCAGAAATGAGAATGAACTAAACCACAATTGACAAATTGTCACTCGTACTAATATCAGACAAATTTGATAATATCCAGGTTAATTGTTTGTTTATGGTTTTCAAAAATGTACGGTATATTATATTATACTTTCCCCAAATGAATACACTTTCTCTGATAAAAATTTCTGATAAGATCTCATCCTACGATTTTATTAATGATTCAACTGGTAAGTTATTAACTTTAATTTTACCGCAGTTTGTAAAAAAAATAATAATATTAAAATGATTATATTAGTTTATTAAAAATAAAAAAATAATTATATTAATGATGCCTTCTCACTTATTGACCTTTGAATATAACCTTGATTTTCGGTTTTTGTATGAAATAATTAAAGAAAATAATTAGAATGTCTAACGGTTTATATTTACATTGCAGAATCAAACCTGCAGTCCGAGTTTATTTTCAATGTGTTGTACTATTCTGTTGAACAGTGGATATAATAATAATTTTACAGAAGAAAGTCACCAGTAGACATAAAAACACAACAGGTACGAAATAAATTTGACTCGTATTATAACAGTATATATATATACGATATTGTTACTTTTCATTCTAAAGTTTGTACTCGGTAATCTGAAATATTAACCAATCTGTGCAGATTCTTCAAAAATCGAAGGAACATGCACTCGAATAAATAAATAAATCGTAGATTTGTCGAGTAGATGTTACAAAGAAGTTAGGATATAATCTAGCTAAAGAAGGTTTATAGGGTGACAAAGGTCAAAGATCACTGTGGGTATGGTATTTATATCTATAATGATTCGAGCAGAAATTTTGTAAAAGTTTATTTTTGTTGTTGTTGTCATTACTATTAGTCTGACGTCCCAGTTTCAAGCTTTCTTCAGGGGCCAAGCTCTAAAGGAGTGACATAAGTACAAACAAGATAGGCACGTAAAACGCAGTCTTCTCGCTGTTTGTGTTCTTACTGTGAGTATATTGATCCTGAAGAAAGCTTGAAGTCGAAATAACAATAACAACATTTTAAAATATTGTGCTTTTCACTTTTTGTGTAACGACTACAAAATTTTAGTTAGTACTAGGGACTCTTGAACAACCTTGAATATTGTATGTTTACACCATCGTCTACTGAGCATTAATGTTCCATACTCTGTAAGTCGTCAGTGAAGTATTTGTAGGTAACGATGATGAGGTTGACCAATCAGTGGAATTCCTTGATTATTATTATAGCACTCGTAGCAACAACCGTACGTCACAAGGCCCCTATCAACGGGATACAGGCGACCACAGCGATGACACTTCCCTTGCTGTGAATCTGTAAAGATTCATGTAAGTAACAACTTGTTAAACAGCTAGTGTAATAATAAAAACTATTGCAGTGTAACAATACTCAATCTCACACTCAAAGCTAGCACTGAAACGCGTAACGTTAAAATTTTCAGTGCTTCAAACTTGTTTTTTGGGGTTTACGCACAATAATCTAACCATTGCACAGTTAATTAGCAAATAATTTTTCTAACTTATATAATAATTAAATACCATCGAAATAATTCAATAGGACTTATCGCTTATCTTAAGTTAAGTTAGACAAGTTTTAAATAAAGAAGAATTTGTTTGAACATAACGTTATGTTTTTACAATAGTCTTGTGTATCGTGTGACGTCTTATCAGTTCGATATATATTTCCAGTGTCATGGCTTAGAATTCCCTTGACATTTGATGTTTTCAAATCTAGAAGTAGCAATAGAAACCGATGATTGTAATCTCACCTTCAAGTCTGAACACAATAACCGAGAGAAGGCGAGCAGAAATTTATATCTGTATCTAGCTAGCTTGATCCTATTTACAGTCGTCAACAGTGACCTTGATTCTGGTTTATTGCCATTTTATGAGCTTGGAGTTTCGATCTGATGTCGTATATATTTCACCAAACCGCATTTTACTGTTTGTTAGCCTAATGTAACCTTTGATAACGCTCGGTGGTATTTGAAAATCGTACCTTCATGAGTCTTTAGATGGGCGCGAAGGTTGCAGGCTAGGGCGAATCTCTTATGGCATACCTTGCAAACATGTGGTCTGTCTCCTGTTTAGAAATAACAAAAAAGTTAAGTACGTTGGTATTACTAAATATAAAATCAACGAGGTAAGTGATTCTTAAAGTTGAGGACTTTGGTATTACCAAATACAAAATTAGTTTTTGGTGTTTCTTGTTGATTTGTCTATTTTTGACTCACTTAATGTTTTTTATGATAGGCATTAATATAAAAATTATATCTATAAATAATTTTTACTCAACCTTTGAAGGATTAGAAAGAAAAAAATAATAGAAACTTAATCCAATAAGCATGATTTTCTTTACAATAAATATAAGATTCAAATATCTTCCAGTTCACGCGTTAAATTTTAAATGTAAATAACCTCATTAGAATTGTATATAATTGGCCTAATAGCTTGTTTAAGTCGTTATCACGTGGCCATAAAGCTTACCAGTGTGAAGAAACAAATGGTTTCTGTGATTCGTCTGCTTGCTGAATCCACGCCCACATATGTGACATCTGAACGGCCAAGAGCCGTTGTGTATGTACATGTGACTCTTCAGGTCTCCGGGAGTGGGGAACGACTTGGCACATATGTTACACTTGTGCGGTTTTTCCTGAAACATACATACCTGAATTTTGACATTACGTATTAAAAGGTATAAATATTAGTATTTTGTTTACGTTATGTAGTAACAGCTTAGCGACTTTGATTCGTCAAATATACTTAAAATAACGAATATATTAATTGTATCTTGTTTGTCTATTGAAGAGCACAAAGCTACTAAATGGGCTATCTGCGCTTTTCTCACCGCGTGTATTGAAATCCCCAGACTTACCGCTGAGTCATCGGGGTGGTAATAACTGTAAGTGTTATTTATTCGTACGTGTATGTGTTACAGCCTGAGAAAAGAAACCATTCCGTGTAAAAGCCTTCTGAGTAACACAATTTTTTTTAACACTAGAACTTTATATCGTGTTTAAAAGCATTTCATTCTGTATCCCTACTGCGTTGTCAGATTTAAAATGACATTTTACGACAATCAACCAATTGTTATAAGCTTATCATTTGGTTTGTTTGAAGTTAAGCACGAAGCTACACAATGGACTATCTGTGCTCTGCCCACCACGGGTATCGAAACCCGGTTTCTAGCGTTGTATGTCCACTGACACACCGCTGTGCCACTGAGGGGGGTATCATTTGGAAGGGATCAAAACTGTAAATATCAGACAAGAGATACAACATTTTTTTTCTGTATATTCGATAACTGAAAGACACAACTTATAGAAAGTGGACACATTTTTTCACACATATCCTTCGTAAGCATCATAAAAATGTGAGCGCTATACACACCTATATTTTGGATGATTAACAAACTGTCCTCATCCTAGGTTTGGTTTTTGAATCTTACCAATTATATTGATTGAAAAAAATAACAAAAACAGAAAAGTTCGCTTTTGAAAGACTCCACTCGAGTGTCGTCAGATAATGTAAAATACTCAATTGCTAGAGTTAAAACATGTTTCGTGTCTTCTTATCTCGTGACAATCTTCAACAAAAAGCGTAGCGTACTGTGTTGGTTATAAGAAGGGCAAGGCTCCCTATCCGCAGGCGAAGAACCACAAAAAAAAAATCACTCATACTGGCAAGAGATAACGTTCCTAACAAACAGCACCGCGTTGCCTACGGTTACCTATCAAGAAAATTGTAATTCTTGCCAGTCATTTTCCCTCTGCCTATAGTGTACAGACCTTCTGAACGTGTGGAGAAGACTCGCTCGGGCAGGAAAACTTTTACTAGAATTTCTCTCATACGCCAATTTGAAGTGAATGAATCGATAAAGGATTTTCCTAAGCTTTAAAATAACGTTATCTTGACTTTTAATTCGTCTACACGTTACGAAAAATTCAGAGAAGGCCATACGTCAAGTCGAGCGTTCATGAAATACTACTCTTGTTACAAATGTTATTTCTGCGATATAATATAGCAGACTACAGATGGGCATAATTTTTAAAATAAGGAAAATTGAAACTTTGAAGATTAAGTCTGATTTGCTCCCCAGTGGCACAGCGGTATGTCTGCGGACTTACAAAGCTAGAAACCGGGTTTCGATACCCGTGGTGGGCAGAGCACAGATAGCCCATTGTGCAGCTTTGTGCATAAATTTATTAGAATGTGCATGTGTGTGTGTCACAAATACGTTGATTACTTGAACAAAAGTTCAAGATTCTTGAGCTGCAAACCGAAAGCTTCATTTTATTCTCGCTTTCTGCGCATGCGTTTTGGGTGCATATATCTTAAAAGTAACGTCGTATTTGGCGTGTTATTCTAATCCCAGCCTGTAAACCCAAACCTTGTAAATGTCGCGATACCTTCGAAACCGTTGCTTAGCACCTGCAGGGGTATAATCTTAACAGATACAATGTTTTTTTGGCATTCTTGAGTAAAAGGACTGTAAGAAGTGGAACGATAAGTACCACAAAGACAGTTTGGTCAGATGTGATTCTCTTACTGCCTTTTAACCTGTTGATACCATTACTGCATGAATGTGGGATGTTAGAGTGGCCAAGACAGGTAAATTCGGTGCTGTAGGGCAGGGAGGTTTTAAACTGTAACAACCCTGATCTACTAATTTATTGGATCTGAATTGAAGTCAGTGACCGCAAGGAAATTCTTATACGCTGGGTACTTGACGGTATCGCTACAGCCAATCAACTGATTGCGCGTGTGGGCTGATATCGAAGGCAGTGGTGATATATCCTTTAACTCGAGGGCTATGTGTCGTGGACCCATCGTAATTTTGAAAACTGTATTGTTTCTGTTCTCTGATGTCCTAAAGTTCCTTAACATTAAGATCCGCTTGATCTCGTTAAATAAACCGCGAAACATTTTGATGTGCAGATAAAGTACTTGAGTAACAACAACTGGGTTACAGTCTCAGTAAAGTTTAAAATTAGTCCAATATTATATCGCACTTTAAACCTTTTGATGCTAAAAAAAAGCATGTTTTTTAATAGATTTTGTTATTTTAACGTCATTAGATGTCTCTAACAACATTTACTGACGAACAAAAAAGTTTAAAAATTTTCCCAAACGCACACCACAGAAACTCTTACAGCCAACATAAAAATGTTTGCTTTTCTTGGGACTGGACTGAGCCAAATTTTACTACAAAGCACCATTTGCTCGAGTATAAAGACTAAGAAGAGGTGAATTTTAGTAAAAAATGGTCTAGTAATAGTCAGTTTTTATTGTTTAAATCGTTGTTGAATAATGAAATATAATATTTAAAGTTACCAGTATAGATTTAGTTTTTAACAAATTAACAGAATAAAAAAACTCGGATCTCCAACATCAATAAACATTAACATAACTTGAAGTTTTCTCTAGTTTCAATGTTTTGACTTCTGTCAATAAACTATGCGTTCCAGAAATCCAGCTTTTATATTGTTTTTAAACAGTGGATATTTATTTGTTTGTAGTTAAGTACAAAGCTACACAATGGACTATCTGTGCAGAGTCCACCACTGGTATCGAAACACGGTTGAGAATTCCTAGTGTAGTTTTCTTCCATTGATGTTATTACACGACCCGCTACGGGAACAACAAGTCTAGCTTGTTGGTTTACATTTCTTCTGAATGAAGAGTAAAGTTAATTCAAGTAAAAATGAATAATAATAATAATAATGAATAATTGGTATCAAAATAAATAAATGATATTTTCAGATAATTGTATATTTGTATTTTTATATTTGTATTTTTATATTCTACCCGACGTTTCGGCTTATTCCTCTTTCAAAGGTCTATAAACGTTTAACATATTAAAATCTACAAACGAACAACGTTTTACGATTAAAATCTTTATTTAACGATTGTAAAAGTCACGTGTGACACTCCTGAAGATGATGTGAAACCACGTTGAAACATGTAGAGTGTCTTTTACAACCGTTGATTGGTTTAAATAAATATTGTAACTGTATATTATAAAACGTTGTTCGTTTAATTTTAACCTTTTAATAGTAGTCCATGAACACCTTAAAACATAATACTGTGTTATTAATACTTACCCTAATTCTAATTTGTATATGAGTAATACAAAATTGATAAAAATGAGAAAAAAAAATTACTGTGTCTGTTGTACCCAGCTGGCCTTATGAGCCTTGGTATTATTCGAAAGGCCTTGTCGGCACTGGACGTAGCAGATATAGTGTGTTTGATATATTGTTATATATTATTTATTGCTTCCTCTGTTCAGTTGGTAGAATTTGTATTCCTAGGACTGAGGATAGATACATTTTTCTGTTATTTGTAACTCTAGTAAATTAAGCGTATTGGATACTATACCGTTTGATTTTTGTATATATATACTATTTAGTTTGATATCGACACAAATGTCCTATCCAAAAGAGTAAAAAACAAACAAACAAATGTTCAGTCCATATTAATATCTAATACTTCTGGGATCTATACACGTATCAGTATGAAATGTTTGTGTAATTACTAGTAACTGAGCGAGAAGATACTATATTTTACGAACTAATAAACCTTTGGAGAATTATGTATATGCACGGTACGGCCTACAAGTAGTTATTGTTAACCAATCTGTTTACCTTGCTGTGTGTCATACGGTGGTAATTATTGTTAACCAATCTGTTTACCTTGCTGTGTGTCATATGGTGGTAATTATTGTTAACCAATCTGTTTACCTTGCTGTGTGTCATACGGTGGT